TCTTGAAAAATCAGTGAAAAAGCCAGGACACTTTAGATCCATTTACCACAGCCTAATCAAACAAGTAAGCTCAGATCATTAAACTAATTATGAGTGGATAAAATAATTAAGGATTCCCTTGTCATGTGATATTGTTGAAATTCTTTGTTGCAGAACTACTGCACAATCATCAGCAAATACTCTGTATATGTCGAGACATTCACTAGCTTTGGTAAAAAACCCTCATTGCTGAAAAGCTTTGGTGGCCATTTGTGAACAACAGTCAGTGTCAAATAGGTAAGAGAAACAGCTTAAATATTCAGGGAGGTTTTTTTGAGAAAATCACCATTTTGGGGGTGATAAAAAAAGAAAGTGATAACTGACACATAAAGAATGCCTCTATAGGACCCTGAGGTTCATTAATGCCCTCTCTATCCTGCCTGCACAAAGCAAGAGTAACTCCCCATGACAGTCACGTTAGCTGAATATGAGCATTCTATAGGTCTTTTAAGAGGAGTTGAACTATTCCAGGCCATTTCTCATAAATACCCAATAAATAATGGTACCAATTGCAGCTTTCTGATTGAACTGACCTTCCTTACTCATAGTAAATCAGTGCTCAGATGTAAGAACTGATCTTCATGTTCACCATCAACTTGAGCAACTGAAGCACATTAAACACCTTGTTGTAAGCACTGCATTTGTTTTTCATGCTTCAAGCCCAGTTCTGGTTTCATCTTACTAGTTCTTTTCTGATGCAAAGATCCATCTGATATTTTTTATCTGTTACAAAAGATATTCTTTTTTTTTTTTCTGACATGCAGCACCATGTGTTAGATCCAGTCTATACTGAGGTAAAAATGGTTCAGACGCCAGACTTGGGCTGGATCTAAGTCTCAATTCACTAAGTGTACACTACTGCTCTTGATGTGTCAGCTAGGCTCTAAATTTTGGAAAAACAACAGGATCTTCCCAGCTGAACTTAACCATTTACATACAAAATTGTCTTTGTAGTGCTGTGGAAAGGATAAAAAATCCCAGTCCAAACATCAGGGGCAATGTATGGAATATCAAACATATGGAAGGAAAATATTACAGGGTTAAAATGAGAAAACAGTATTTCAACTGCAGTCAAAGCCAGAGTAAAGCTGTCCAGCCAAATGATGGGGCTAGGTCTCACCAACCCAGAGCACACACTGTGCCACACAAGCTAGTACATCGTATCACATCACATCGTATCTGCTGAGCATTAGTCCTTCCTGGCTTTCTAACATCATTTTCACAGGGTCAGTAACCTCTGTGGGAATGATGGAAGTTAATCTTTTCTCTTCCTTTCCCCAATTATTGTTCAGCTAATGATTAAAGCAACCCCTGGGAAACGGAAGGTGTGGTTTACAATCTCTGGGGACCAAAGTAAGCCTACAGCCTTTCCCTAGGCAGTGCTGCCTTAGCCTGGATGAAAGAGGCACTTTTTCATGCACAAACAGAAGGTTCACTTTGGTTTGAAGTGGCTTCTTTATTAAATCCTCAGTACAACCTAAGATAGAAATATTTGAAATTAGAAATACAGAAAATACTGACATAGAAATGAGTTTTGACCACTGTTCTCTGCAGGTGGTAATGCTTGATATAGCACAGCATGGTGTGGTAGATCTCAGCATCTCAGATATCATGATAGAAAAAATATGAATTGAGGAATGAAGCAATTAAAAGATGTGCAGTGTTTCTTGAACTTACAGGCCTGTCTCCAGTGAAAGGACCATGTTTTATAGTTTATTGCAGGTCTTTTTTTCTTTCCCTTCTGAAAAATGACCTGACAGAAAATATAAACAGCCTTTACAGAACTCTAAAACCCTCTTTATCTTTCATCATACTTTCTAGCAGCTACGCTTTATTATAAATAGCATAAGGGGAGTTGAGGAAATATAGATAAAAGAGCTAATGATGAACTAACAAATACCAGATCTAGTACAGCAAAAAGTACTTCGGAAGTATGCACATTTATTATGCATAGTATCAGGATATCTTTCTGGACACACATAAATATAATTCAGAACTGATATGGAAAAAATTTAAAATGGAAGTTTCAAATTCTGCTCTTATTCTGATGTCTGCCATAAAAAAAAAAAATCTCTTCTGATTAGTGACTGAAGCCAATGATTTTACGTCACGTTGGTAGCTACACACATACAGGACTGACTCAGTGTGTAACATACCACTCTACAATCACGAGGCAACAAAAGGGCTGCTCCTCCTGTTTTGTTATTTTGGCCCACCATGTCAGAGGCAGATGTCGGTGGTACGGCAGCAGAGGCTGAACCTTCTCGCCAGTATCTCATTGCGTGTTGCTGCTGTGGGACAGATGGCAGCAGAGAGGGAGTCTGATCAAATGGTGTCTGACATAGTGCTGTGTATGAAGAAAAGGTGTGAAACTCAATTCCTCCTTGTGGAAAAAATGGAACCCACCGACATTCATCACCACTTGCAGAATGTTTATGGAGCCCAACATGTGGATGTGAGCACAGTAAGGCAGTAGCAGTACATTTCAGCAGTGGCAACAGCAATGCAAAAGACAAGCCATGTTCTGGATGGCCATGGATTCAGTGGTACGTGGAGACAGGACAAGGGGAAACGGCCAGAAACTGCAGCATAGGAAGTTCCGCACAAATGTGCGCAAGAACTTCTTTACAGTGAGGTGACGGAGCACTGGAACAGGCTGCCCAGGGAGGTGGTGGAGTCTCCTTCTCTGGAGATGTTCAAGACCTGCCTGGATGCCTTCCTGTGTGACCTGCTGTAGGGAACCTGCTTTGGCAGGGGGGTTGGACTCGATGATCTCTGGAGGTCCCTTCCAACCCCTACAATTCTGCGATTCTGTGATTCTGTGATGTGCAGCTGTCACCACAAAATGAAGAGCATCTCAATCAGCTCATGCACATTAATCAGCTGATGTTGGAGACTATGCTGAAAAATAGTGCTTTGTAGCTGATAATTAAGTCTATCAGTGCTATTGTTCTCTTTGTATCCTTAGTAGTTTCAGCAGAAATAAATAGGAGGCACTGCTTTGACTGACCTGCATACATTGATCTTTGAGAATGTTATAAATGCGTGTAATTTTTGAGGAAATATAATAGCAATTATATCCTTCCTTGTAAACACAAATAGTTCAGTGAATAAGAAAACAGTCATAAAATACTGTCACTAAATATTTAAGTACTTGGATTTTGTGGCCAGTTGAAAGCACCATGAGAATATGATCCTTAAAGACTTCTGTCTTCACTATGTATGCATGTAATCTACTGGCACTGATGCTAGTTCTCCAGTAGATTAAGGAATGCATTGCTCATAGTTTTCTTTTATTTGTTGATACATACTACCAGGTCAGAGAGGGAGCCACTTGATGATCTATCCCAAATCTCCTAGAAGCTCCATGTCTGGAAGAAGAGATGGTCCCAGACAGATGGAGCTGCCTCCTGGGAGGAAGAATTTGCAGCTCTCACCAGTGACTGCTCAGGCCAAAGCATTATCTCTGTCAGAAGGTAAGACCTATGCAACGTGGATTGTCACAACCCGACAAAGAGCAGAGAGAGCTGCACTTTTTTGAAGTCACAGGAAGGAATTTGTTGGTTTTAGCATCTTTGCTGTAGGCAAAGCATTTATTTTCTCTCTGAAGTGTATTTTTCTATCTTTCTGAGTATACTGTTAATACAGAAACATGCAGTTTTTTCCACTTAACTGAATTCCATTGAGTTCTAGTAATGAGCAGTTTCTGCTTCCAAAGAAAGAGCCATTCTTTGCAGGCTGCACCCATTCTTCTTCACCCTTAAGCCTCACTCAGTGGAACATAGAAATAAATATGCCACCCATCAGAGATACTCTCATCCCAGCCCACTTACAATATAGATGCTCCTCCAGCAGATGCTGCTGTGAACTAAATGGGCAAGTTGGAGACAGCACTGCACCTCTTATGTTTGAGGTGGAGGAAAGGCAGCAGCTCCCTCAGTCCTCCTGTTCTGGTAATCTTCCATCTCTAAGAGGCTTCAAGTGGCTTCAAGGGTTCCCAAGTCTGTATTTATGCTGGAAAGTAAATTCAATGCAATCCTTTAAAAATGTGCACATGCATGGAAATGCAAAGAAAAGTACGGAAAGGGCTTAAAAAACATAGAAGATGGAGGGCTGTACAGCTGAATGCATTGAAGTGCCTAAGTGCCAAAAAAAAAGAGCAACATACACAAAAAAAAATTACTTAGGAAAACTTTGGTTTTATGGAACAATGAACACAATAGGTAGAAAGAGGAAGGAAAAAACCTTTTGAAGGCAGTTTTTGATGTACGTATCCATGTGGTGTAGAAAATCTCATTCTAAAGGTGCAATTATGGTCTCAACTGCTTGTGAATTCAGGAGAGACCCTAGCTAGAGGGCAGCACTGATGGCACTGGCTTAGGGCTGTGAGTGGTTGTGTGGCTCTTTAGAAGGTTCAGAAGTCAAAATGAAATCTTCCTCCCAGAGCACAGACTGAATACCCCTTTTTGGAGCAGCAAGGACAAACTTAGATGAAAGAGTAATAATAATGCTTTCTTGTTTGGCAACCAGAAATTACTAACAGCAGTCAATCCCTTAAAGCTTAAAGCTTTATTTGGAGGAATAAGCCTGCTGGAACAGAAGGAAAAGTAATTAATAGCAGTTCATTTTCTGAATTAAAGCAATATTTATGAGACAACAAAGAGCTAAACTATTGTATTTAGAGCCAGCACAGTGCCTGTATACACAAAGCCTCCAGGAAGAAAAAAAAAAAAAAAAGAGGAGCATAGAAGAAGGCAAAGTCTATAATGCTACACTAAGAATCCACTAGGCAGTATGGTTACTACTGTATAAGTTTTGGCTTTCCCTTCCCTGCTCTCTCGCTCAGCACTTTCATATCCTCTATTCATTGTCATACTGACAACACCACTTCTGAAAGAGTAGTTGTATGATTTCAGATACCTTGAACTGAAAACAAAAAAGCACACATACAAAAAAGCACACAATGTGGATGAGGAGTACTGTATGGGACCCAACGGACACGAGGGTCTAATGCAATATAGTGTGAGTGTAACTGGACAAAGACCTAGTTTAGACTATCCTCCAGCCCTGCTTTCTTTGCTATGTGGATGTAGCCTAACAAAAGCAGAAGACCAAGTAGATCTACTGAGTCAGTAATTATAGGTAAGACTGGGGGAAATGTTAAATGAAAGTATTTGTGAATGAAGGATACTGGGCACAAACTTCAGAATGATGTTGATGATAGTGACAACAATAATAAAGTGAGGTGAGGAAAGAAAAAGACATAATATCCTATTACTTGAAATGATCTCTTTATGCTTAAATTGTTATTTATGAAGGATGAAAAAGAGGTAAGTGGTAAATTGGAAACCAAAACACGGTTTAGATTTGTCTGTGTACTATGCTGTTATCATATACAGTACAGTATGTGCAAATCTCAGGTCCATTTGATTTTTCTTCTCTACAATATGCTGTATCTTTATCCTTAGAACTATGTAGATAAAGAATCCATAATCAAGTGAAACTTTGTCTAAAATATGGTATCTGTTTATGTCAAAACTGGCTGATATCATAGCTTTGATCTTTCAGCTAGGACAACAATACCACGATTTTTAATTATTCACATTAGACAGAATAAAGAGTCTCTCTAGGAAAACAGGAGGATATTGTTAATCTGTTTCTAAACAACAGTGAGTTATAGTAGCTCTTTTATCTGAAGATGATAGGCCCTGGACTGGAATGAGTGCCAGCCAAGTTTGATGAAGAGTAAGGAGTGTGTATATCATACTTTATAGTGGCATTGCTACTTTATGACCCACAAGACGATACTCATAGTGTCTTGAGAGAGACATCAATGTGTGATCAGTAGGTGCATCTGCTATATTTTCTCCTCGTTTCGTAGTCTCACTTTTTTTTTCTTTTGAACTTTAATGTACTCTGTTATTTTCTTGTCCTTTAAGGACCTTCAGCCTAGTAGATAAGATAACTTCAAGAACCATAATATTTTAGAACATGCATACTACTGGACTGTATTCATGAATACTTTTATTCAAACTGGTAATGCCTGGGCAAATACAGTAGTTACTGGGATTGAGCCAAAGATTAAAATTTAAAAAAAAAAAAGATTAAAAGTTTGATCCAAAGATTAAAAATAGCCCCGTTTTGAACTTGGTAAGCCATTTCGAGATCTGTCCAACTATTATTAGGTAGGTTTCAATAAAAAATATTTATAAGTCAAGTAAGTATTCTCTTTCATATTGACTTTCAATGAATTATTTCAAGACACTAAATGAGTAGCTTTTCATAATCACAAAAAGAAGATACGTACAGAAAGATTTTGTCAGAAAAATACAACAAATACTCTGTTAAAAGCCGCAGAACTACATATGCATAATTCCAATACTTTGCTGTTTAAAACATTACAATAAGACAACTCATTAAATAAAGTAGGAAAAGTAGAAGGAGAAAGATGCTTGGTAACTTGATGATGTATTCTTGTACTAACTTAGTACGAGAAGTTACTCATGTCAAACATCAAAGTCCATGATGAAACAAACTATAACAACCAGATCAATGAGCTTTTCAGCATTCTGCACATAGCACCATATTTCAGTTGTATCATCAACCTAAAACCAAGTAGAAACACAGTCACAGGGGTATAACAAGCAGGTCATCCTCTTTATACAAATCCCAGGAGAAGAAGCGCTCAAAGAAATAAAACCATCTTCAGATCTAGGTCACGTAATAAACAAAAATCGTGCCTGCAAATCAGCCTCAGTGCCCTTCAGAGCTGACTTCAGCTTCATCTTAGAAAGTTTCTGTGTCTTGATGTTTTCAAAAGCCAAGTGATGAATGAAATTGCTTTAGATATAGCTGGCATGCTTGCTTTGTAACTGCTCCAAAAATACCGAAAGATAATTAACTTGTCAAGCCAGAAGCACTGAAGTGAACAATTTATGCAATAAACATAAAAATATGGCAAATTCAAAATCAGAGAAGGACAAAGAGAACTAATCAAGATGTAAAAAAACTTGGATGGAAAACAGCAACACATACAAGTTAAATTGATATTGAAGCTCTCAGCAGCATCTTAGCAAATCTGGTTTAACAAATGTTTCAATACAGTAAATTGCTAACAAAGCACAGAATCATTAAGAAGTGTTTCTGAATGCTAGTGTAAATCACAACAAACTTGGCAACAAACCTACAGTAATCCAGAAAGAAATTATCTGTTTGCATACACCAAGATTGTATAGGATCAGAAAACATAATAAGTTCCCAGATATATACTGGCATGTGTCAGGGTGACCTTTGAGAAGGTGAGGTTCACTATGACAAGAAAAAGCTCATTGATCCTGTGGAATTTATCTTCAAACACTGAAATGTTCAAAATAAATGAACTCATAATAAGTCAAAACAGTGAATTGTGTGGGTGAAAGATATGCCTCCATAGAGATAATGCTATGCTGGTTTGGACTAGAAAAAAAATGCCGATCTAAAGACCAAGAAGAAAATTCACAGGCAGTGAAAACAGGGACAGTACCATAGGAAGAGCATAAGGAGCATAAGGAAGACCTAGATTATGTAGCACTGGGTCAGGAAAGACAAGGCCCGGTTCAAACTGAATCTGGTAAGGGATGCCAAAAACAAGAAGAAAGGCTTTTACAGGTACCTCAACCAGAAAAAGGAAAGTCTAGGAGGACATGCCCCTCTAGCGAGTGACATAGGCAAGCTGGAAACAGGAGACAAGGAGAAGACTGAGGTACCTAACAACTCTTTTGCCTCAGTCTTCCCGGATAACTACTCACCACACAGCCCTCAAACACTTGGGTTGGTAGTAGGGGATCAAGGAGGCAACATCACTCCCGCTATAAGCAAAGACTGAGCTCATGACCACTTGAGGAATCTGAACGTTCACAAGTCTATGGGTCCCAATGAGGTGCATCCCAGAGTCCTGACGGAATTGGCTGATGTGGCTGCCAAGCAACTAACAGTGATATTTGAAAAGTCGTGGCAATCAGGCGAAGTCCCTGGTGACTGAAAAATTAACATCCCCCACATTTTTTAAAAGGGTAAAAAGGATAACCCTGGGATCTACCGACCTGTCAGCCTCAGCTCTGTGCCAGAGAACATCAGTGGAGTAGATCCTCCTGGAAGCTATGCTAAGGCACATGGAAGGCAGGGAGGTGATATATTTTATCACCCACAATGCATTGAGCTAAATAAGAAGTCGTCTTTGAGTTCAGGAGACCTGAGTAATGATGTTATAATTTGGCAGCATTTTTATTAATTATATCAAAACACAGGTGTTCCCATATAATTTCATAGAATCCACATCTTTGTGACAGAGTATTTAGAGACACTGAAACTACATCTGGAGACCAGGGCATTGAGTGAATGCTTTAGTGTTGACAGTTCAGAACAACCTGTGTTCATTTCACTTTGAAGTAATATAAAAGAGGTACATTAATTCTTTCCTGTTTCTCCAGCACTAATGCTATGTAAAGTATTTCTTACATACGCTAACTTTAAGGGCAGCCTTCACCCGACATGATTTTGACAGTTGCTTTGGGATGAAACTGGTTCTGTGCTAATAGCATTTATTTCTCCCTTGATTCTAGAGACAGCTCAGAAACTGGTATCTACAGCACAAGTAAGTATCTACAGCATAGTTTATTAGATGGATTCCATTTACAGAGTTCTGCGTATAACATTCTTCATTCACAACTCCATTCTTATCCTGAAACAAAGAGGATTACCAGTCATGCAAAATAATATCTTCCTTCCAGGGTCTCAGCCCAACACCAATGCCATGTTCCAGGAGGGAAACCCATCTCAGAAATTTCTGCTGGTCAAAAAAGATAATAAAAAGCAGCTTGTTCTGCTACCAAATATTTCCTTCTACAGGAAAATAGCATGTCTTCTGCTGCAGCAGTAGTTGAATGCTGCCTTGCACTCCAGTTGTTTACAGGCGCCTTTAATTTGCCCTAGAAAGAATGTGAGAGAAAATAAATTATCTGAGCAATACCGTTTTATGTTTGCATAGTGACGCACAGTAACAATACTCACCAGTAAGTTAAATCCAATAAAGTTATCTTAAAATGGTATGCTGTGCTCACTTCTGAGGTAAATAAAAGGAGACAGTGGAAGAATACCACCTCACAGGCATTTCTGACTCTACTGTATTACACATGCTTACGTTAGATGTTATTTCATGGACTAGTCTGTGCAGAATATTTTATTTGGAGCTAAAATGTAGAGAGAGACAATATTTTTTTCCCCAAAAGGATTTGTAAAATGATCAAAAATGACAAACTGGCATTTACAAAGTGACATACTCTGAGCAAATCCTAAAAGTTGTTACTTTAATGTTTCTTGATACTAAAGTATCACCCTGGTTATGTCATATAATCTGCCATTTCACACACCATGTCATATACTGAGAATCCTAAAACCAAGCTATGACTGCCTTCTGGCAGAACTAAAGTTCTCATGCCAAATTGCTTCTGAACACATTTCTTAATTTATCATTTAAAATTTGTTTGAGCTGTGTCCAGCAACCAGATACTTGGATCAGCCAGTGAGGGACAGAACAACTTGTACTGAAAATATAATAGATGTCCTGCATGCATGTCACACTCTTGTGACCTCATGGCCCTTTTTCTTTATTCCTCTTTGCCACTGTGCATTTGTTTTCTCTGTTGCTGCCCTTTCATGGACGTGCACAAGATGCAAAGACCACTGACTGCTGCAAGGTTCAGACATGAAGGACATACTTCGCCCACAAAATGCTGTGTAAAGTAAGGGTGTTTAGGGTTAGCCCAAGTAAATTTGGAGGGTAAAATAATTTCAGTGATGTTGTGCTGATTTGCAGCAGCCAAGGGTTTGCCATTTTCTGGAGGCACTCCTTGGTTAGAAGGAATGATGAACATTATACCCTTGAAATAAAAAAATCTGGCAACCTTCACAAGTCACTGAACAGTTTATCAGGAGGACCAGATCAACATCTTATCAATTCCGACCACAAGTCTGTATTTGCCCTACAGGAACTAGCCATGGGAGATCCCAATTTAATAGAAATTTTTAATTACAACACAAGATCGGTCCTCTACATTGATCTTTCTTTTTGTGACTACCTCAAAAATCAGCTGGGCTTTTACTTCAGTCTCCTTTCTGTGAGCTGTAGAAATGTCAGTCACAACCCAAGCAACTGAAGGAAAATGTACAGTTGGATGAAGAAGAACGCTCAGATAGATAGTGAAAGATATTTAAAAGAGAGCCAGATAGATGAGATCATTTTACAAAAAATAATGTAAGCATGGCTTTCTTGCATAATACATTTTTGGCAGTCCTCCAGGAACGGTGGTCCACAGCATCTTCTGTAGCTGCAGTATGGAGGGATGAAAGGAAAATAACTCTATGAAAATCCTCTTAGTTTTGGACAAGCCATATCACATACTTCTCCTGAGATGTGGGTGTTCAGTCTCTCTTAGTTCAACATACAGAAAGAATAACTCAGTCATTACAAGCAGTGCTAACCCAGGGTGCTCACACTCCCTGTGCTGCACCTTGTGTTGGTGAAGAACAAAGTAAATACTGCAGCCCCCCACCTACTTTGAGCCAGACAGTGAGCCTTCCTCCTTCTCCCTCCTCTCCCTAGCTAAATTATAAAAGGCATTTATAAAAGCTGAGGCAGAGATAACAAGAACTAAAGGAGTTGTAGCAGGTGTTGAGCATTAGAGTACCATCTGGGTCTGTCTAATTCCAGCCAAAACAGTCTCCTCCGCAACTGATCAGAAGGGTGGGATAGGATCGTTGCTCAATGCCATGTGGACTGAAAGGAAAGCAGAAGCTCTGGCTCAAGCCTGGCGATCATTACAAGAGAGATTACCTGAGAGATTGTAACAGCGCTATTAATTACTAGGAAGCATTAACGCAAGTGCCAGCTCACATTCCTTCTCTGATAACTTTTTTTCTGATGTATCATGACATTTTGAAATTGCCTTTGACTCCGATGGTGTTAGCCAGATTCCAGAAACGTGCTGCAAACCTCACCAGTAAATGCAGGAAGAGTACAATTGCTCCCTGTTTTAGGTTAAAGTAAGATAAAAGATTCCACACTTTTCTCAGACAAAAGCTGAAAAAACTGAGGCTACACCATATGTTGAAACTTAAGAATCCCTCAAAGCCAGTAGCACAGGTTCTATTCAACATCGAAAGGCTTCCAAGAAACACATGGAAGTCAGTCCCTGCATCCCACCTACAGTTTTGTTTGCCACTTTCACCTAACAGGCATTTGCCAAGCGTCCACTGAGCCTGGCATTATGAACTTATCTCTACTCTGCAGTAGCTGCAGCTTTGAAGGGAATTTAGGAATTCTTTACGCTAAAATACAGTGTGATGTTTCTCAACTAACAATGACTGAAACACATTTTATGACCAGTTATATTATGACCATTTTTCTAGGGTAAACCAATGTAAATCCTGTTAATATATGAAAGCACTTTATTCTGGAGCTACACATTTACTGGAAAAATCGGTGACATCAACAGATACTTTTTAAGGTATGTTCAAGCAAAAATATAGCGAAAAGGTGAAATCAGACTAAATGTATGCGTAGTGATGAGGTTCACTCTTTTCTGAGTTAATTTTTTAGAAATTTTTATTTTATTAATTTTTGCTACACAAACTGCTCTGTGCAAACAGTGAAACACGAACCGACCACTTCAAACTGTAGCTTACAAAGTTGGTAATAAAATATTATGACCACAGACGAAGACAAGAATGGTCAGCCTGTTTCACAGTATAGCTTGTGACTCATGCCACTGAGTCATATGGCAGAGGAGTTAGCCAGCACAGAAGATGGGTGCCCTGACCCTGGTGAAGGCCATGCCTGGCAACACATCTCATCACTCATGCTGTTTTGTGCAGAGGACCAAAGCTGGTATTTCAGAAATAACAAGTTATCCACAGCATGTGTACCAGAAGTGAGACTGAAAAAGCTATACTGTACGATTTTGCTTTAAATAAACATATAACTCAGGCTGATATCAGTGAGAGAAACGAGCTTTGTCTCTGATGATATTTGAGGAGCAGAAGCCAATAAATAGGAAGTAGCAAGCAATGACTTTGGCTTGCCTGTCTGGCTAAATCTGTGCTGAATGTTTTGAAGAATCCCATCCTGACTGGATATCATCTCATTCTCCTGTAAAGATATTGACTGCAAATGTTTATTTTTTAAACTGGCTGAAGTTAAGTCACCAGTTCTTTGTACTTTAACATATCTTACAGAATCAATGAGTTTTAGACAAGACAAATTGTAATTGCAATATTGTTTAATTGTATTCTCATACATGCTAGATTTTGTTTAAAAAAGAAAAACGAATGTAAAAATGTACAAGGAAATTTTGTACATAATTTCCCACAATACACATGACTTTTGATTTTTGTAATACTGAAAGGAAAATATAGCTATAGTTTCACAAGCAAAAAACAAAAAGAAAAGGCCATTGTGTATTCTGATTCTCATATGCACAGACCAGTAACAATTTTGTACACATTCTTGTGTACAAACCAGCACAATTGCACAGGTCAAGTATTAACCAGAGACCATTATTTTCTTGGCAACTTTTATTAATTCATTTGACACCAGAAAAAGATGGCTGTATCTATGCAAAGGATAAAACTCCAGTGCTACAAAATCTTTTCCTTCATATACTCTGAAACCACAGCATGCAAGATCCACATATAGAGGCTTTGGATTCAGCTATCAGCATCACAAAAACAGTACCCTGATATTCGTAACGATGATTTCTGTTTCAGTAAGAAACAGAAGAGCCAACTGCAAACAGAGCACTGTAAGGCCAGCTTCTATAAAGACACGAATTCCTAGGCAGCCTCTTCTTTTTAAGCTATTCAACACAATGACCTCTCAGCTCGTCTTGAATCATATCTTAGAATTTTGGAAATGTTCCCTGTGACTGATATACACTTCTTTAAACTAGATCCAAATATCAGCGCCTAGGCTTAAAATTACTCTCCATTAAACTATGTTTTATCACAGAATAACAATGATGTCATCTATGTTTCTCCCCATGAATGCAGGGTGGTTTTCTACAGCGTATCTCAGGCAGCTTTGTTCTCGCTAGTTAAATAAATCTTTGGCTTTCATCAGACTTTTACAGCTTAACGTATCTTACTAACATGATATCTATTCAGATATTCACCCTACGTTTTACTACACATATTTTGAATTGCTATCCTTCCTCCTAACTGAATAACCAAGAAAGCAAAAAAATTGGATCTCTTTTGTGTTCTGCCTTTCAGGGAAAAGCAAAAAGACTTGACTTCATGTGTGAGTACAAACACCTCTAACTTTGACTTATTCTGAGCAATAAATTAAGCCATTATTTTCTATCACCTCTCATCATCATTTCGGTTTCTTCCTGACTGCATTCTGTGCACTTAATTTCTTCAGATTCAGTGAGTACAATTGATTATCATTTGAATATCAGATGAGCAGATACAATGACTCCTATAAAAGAATGCATGTTCATTTTGTTGTTTGTTTTTTTCCTACTTAGCGCTTTTTAAATTGATTGGTTTAAAAAACACTTCCATGTAACTCTAATGTTTTCACTCTCATATACCCTGCAGCATCCTACTTCTGACTTTGGTCTCACACAGTCAATTGTCCTCCAAAGAATTCTGATTCATGCACCAACATAACCTCAGAAAAGGTCTAGTGGATAGACCACCCTAATTAACAAGTGTTATCTAACTAATCTCATCAGACACCATAATCCTGATTAAAATATCCAGGCAGCCAACATCTAATGGGATGAGTAAATACATGGATTCAAAGAAAATCTGGATTTATAATTGTTCCCAAATAATTAAATCCTTGCTTTTTTACATTTGAAGGACCTTCAAATATAATATGTAAAAAGAAGCAGGAGACTTTGCAATAGTGTTGTTGCTTCTTTTTTAGGTAGCTGCAGAATCTTACAGGCCCTCGGTAGCATTTCAGATAGTTGCATTATGTATTAGACATACTGCAGATACATACTAGGCTACCCAACTACATATGAGTGCAAATGTCTATGAAAAGGTGGGAATGTACAGGTACAGATATGGACATGCATCCACACATAGATAGGTCACTCTGAAACTAATGTCTCTTACTCATTTCTATTGAAACTACAACAGATGCAAAGGGTACAATAACACTATTTGATGGAGCACATTCTCAGCAACAAAATACTGTTTTTCAACATAGTAATCACCATTAGCCATTCACTTTTGCCAGTGATGAACAAGAGCAGGCATGCCTTGCATGTGAAAAGTGACCCACTGTTGCTGTTGCCACTGCTGAAACACAGAACCCACCACCTCACTGTGCTCACATCCACTACTTGGGCTCCATCAATATTCAGCAAGTATCAGTGAATCTCAGTGAGTTTTTCAGCAGGGAAGAATTCAGTGGCACATCTTTTCTTCATATGCATTTCCGTGTCAGATGCCATCCTGTCAGACTGCCCCTGTGCTGCCGTCTGTCACACTGCAACAACATGTAATGGAATATTGGTGGGAAGGTTCAGCCTCTACTGCCATATCGCCAACATCTGCCTCTGACATCGTGGATCAACGTCACAAAATAGGAGGCACTACTTTCAGAGCTTCCCCATAGGAACTTGCATACATGCATACATGGGTTCCAATGTGTTTATGAGATGTTCAGCACCTAGGATAGAAAAAAAATTATGAGAATATCATATTATTTGCAATGCTATCATCTGTGGTAGCAGAAGAATTAAAGCTGAGGACTGTTCTAACTCATGAAACAACTGATATAGCCTACACTTCAGCTTTTGCAGTTGTTTTGGCATTGTGAACATACAGTTTCTGCCATGCAGTGTGTGGCCCAGTCACATCTGGGGGTATATTTACTCCACCTCTGATAAAACATTGTGAAATATTGTCTTCCCCATCCAAAGCAAAGTACGGCAGCAGATTGCACAATGAGTGGCCTTACTGTAAGCTAAGGTTGCTGGTATTTGCTAAGCAATTTTAAGCACCCTAAGCTTTCTAGCCTCTTTACAGTCTAAGAAAGAAGTTTATCTCCTCTTCTCTCTTGAGTATTCTCCTTCCAGAGGAAGGTAAACCTGCTCCAAGATACTTCAGAAGCCTTTCTAGCATGATGACAGATACTAATGGTGGGTATTTTATACTATGCCTATGGCTGCTGTTTTTCTTCTGCTTTACTAATTACTGACATAACTTAATCATTGCTAGAACTAGATTGATTCAGTAGCAAGCCCTCCTGGAAAAATCTATCCCCATGTTTAAGCAGCTGCCGTACCTGTTCTGCCTCAGCTCTACATTGACCCTGTGGTCACCTGAAAAAACACTCATGAACATTTCTGTTAAAGAAGAAATTATTTCAGGAATACCTTTTCATAGCTTCTTTCAGCTTATCTTATTTCAGAGTTCTCAGTTATAAAACCTTGGCAGAGAAGATTTATTTGTTTCTATTGGAAAAAATCAGTTTTGCTGTTCCTCACTACTGTGGACTCAAAACATCTGCACTGGATGTTGGCTTAAGCAACATCTATATAGAAGGGCCATCAGTGATAGAGATCTATAAAGTGAGAAATACTGCATAGAGTAGAAATCTGTTTCTGAAAGTACAAGATTACTGGGCACAACAAATTTAAACAAGTACTTAAAGATGGTATAGAATCTAGAAGTATAAGCTAGTCCAACAACCTAACAATATGATGAACTACTCCGTTTATTACACTTATCATAGTCATCTGAGGATGATATCCAGAACAGGAAGCCCCCAGTACACAGGTAGGTAGCTGGTAACTAGGTACATATCACAGAAAAAAAAAATTTGGATTAATTCACTTCCTACATTTACAAGCTGCTGCTTCTCATGGTTGCTGGAGATGGCCTACCAGTCTTGCAGAAACCATAGTTCCTATGGTCTAAATATCTCTGAAGTTAAGGCCACCGTTTCTTTTATCGTCATGCAGTATGGACGCATGATACCTCATGAAGACCCTGTTCAGATAAGCCCTCCTTCCAGCCAGCTACACAGTCCTTTAAAGCTTCATTAATTGGGATGTTGTGTCTATACTTGTGGACTTACTTTCAGATGCTTCTTCCTAGACTGATGGAGCTCTGATGAAGTGATTTTACATGGATCCTCCTGGCTGAGCTATAAATCTGCATGGGTTAAGCAGAGCTCATTGGAGCCGTGGGGAGGATTGAAGGATACACAGCTGCTCCCCATGCATGTGTGCCATGTATGAGGAGCAAAGACAGTCCTCTGTTACCTCCCATCCATCCATCAGCAAATCCCCTCTGGATTATGCAAATTCAGCATAAGGTTGTCTGTTATCTGTCTTTATTTCATGTAGATATATTTTTTCTACATCAGAGTCCTCTGCAATTTTTCTTTTTTTTTTTTTTTTTTTTTTTTTTTTTTTTGTACTGTAATCTATTTAGATTCCAGTTAAAGAGGTAAAGGTCCTACTGTGTGTTTGTG